CGTTCGTAACAGAGTCCTACGGATCGGGAATGGTCCGAAGAGGTCGGTCAAGCACTCCCGACAGTTAGGTGCGTTCCGTAACATTTGGAAAACTCAGCCGATTTTGTCTAGTCGGATTACAATCGTGATGTCGTGACAGATTCTGCTGTATCGGATCAAAATCGTAACAATATCCTGTGTTGTCTTGGCGGTGTCTTGACGGTGTCGTGTGGATCGGGACGCTTTCGTGATGAACGGGCAAGATTTGGAGAATGTTTTCATTGCCGTTTCTAGCCGATTAAGTCCAGATTTCGTCAAGATCTTGCCGAATGCGTCGGTTCACTGTCCGGCCACTGTCTGATCTCTGTCGGATTGCGTTCGGGAGAATCATGACGCTGTCGGGACAGATTCGGTCGTTTTTTACCATGCGGAAGAAAGAAATCGGATCAGATTAGGATTGAGAACGGGAGAATCGGGACGAATTCGACTGGAAACGGCTGAATCGCGACGCTTCCTGAACAATATCTGATTGTTGTCGTGATTGGTCGAGTGGTTAACACTCCGGCCTTCCATGAAGGCGGCCCGGGTTCGATCCCCGAAGTCGCCGTACGCATGGAATATTAGAGAAAGTGTTTTTCTCCTGCCCACACAACCCAGGTGGAGTATAAAAGGGTCTGGGGTGGGTGTTGCGGTATCTGTGCTGTAGCATTCAAGTGAGGTGGCATTATAAACGATACCGTTGGAAGCACGGTCCCAATACAAACAGAACACAATACATCTCCAGCACACACGCAGGCATACACACATAGGGAGATATTAGCCAGGTGGCATAGGACTAGTAGTTAGCGCCTGATAAGGCAGCTGCTGCGAATTCCTCAATATTGTATTGATTAATATATATGCTAATTGTATTGACTGTTTAAAATTGTATATCTATGTACTGTAAAGCGCTTTAGAGTGGCTTATGTTAGCTAGATAGGGCGCTATATCAAATGCTGTATATTATTATTATTATGATTATATAAATGTTTTCACAAATTTGTGAATTTCCCGCCACGAATCACAGGATCTTGATTCGACTTTTGACAAAATTTAATCGGGAGTGGTCCTTTCAAGGACGGCAGTAAAAATCCTGAATGTGTGACTTAGGCTTAATACAGAAAGGGAGATTATAACTTCGAATGTTATAATCTACCTGTAATAATAAAGATGATTTAAATGCTTTCATGCAGCATATGCCGTGTATTTTGGGCTAGGGCGTTGGTCTTGCTTAGTAATTCAACCTATGACACTTCCTGGTTCTCCTGTTAACACGGTAGGATATCGCTTTATTACATCAGGACTATTTGCATTTAACTTTGACGGGGTAGTACATGTATATTAAAACACGTCATCGCTCTAACTATTTCTATATGAAGTATTTGTGTGTTGTTCCTTTCGATATTTCAATTGACATTTCCCTAGTATCAACTGATATAGCCTACGGTATCACTAAATACGTTGTCAATGCTTGTTTACGTCATACGGGTGTGTCCACTATACACACAACCCATCTGCTTCACCAGTAGTTTAAACCAAATTTTGATTTTGATCATTTTTGATATCCACATAATTTGTGGTATATTTTGTCCTTGTGTTTTAAAGCTGTGGTATATACGTTGTCCTTGTGTGTTGTTGCGGTTTAATTTGTCCTTGTATGTTGACGCTGTGTTATGTTTTTCGATTTCGAAAGTAAGCTTTCTGGGTTTTGCAAAACTCACCGACATGACAAGGTATAAGTGTAATTCTCCATTCTCTGATGATTGGTAATTCGGATTTATGGTATGATTCAATAAGCAAAAGGAACAAGCTTTAGGGTAAAGAGGATCCAGCTGTAAACAGTCTGGACTGGTCAGCTTTTACTTCATAACTGGATCTGTGATATAGGACCATTCGAGATTGCTAGATAGAACTAACAATTTAATAAATCAAAGTTTTGATAGGACTTTTTCAGGACTTGATTGTTACGTCATGGGTTTGTGTGAGACAATTACGTCGTTTTCTCAAAAATTGATGACGTTACTCTCACAAACAAGTGACGTAACAATCAATACCTGCTCCCAAGAGAAGATAACTCTGCAATACGCAAAGACAGAATAGTTCAGTAAAGGTTTGTCTGGTTCAGGAAAAAGTGCGCGAAGGGTTCTATTCGAGACATTGCCAAAACATTGCATTTCGCATCAAAACTGAATATATTCCGGATCAATCGATGTAAAATTGAAAATCAACACAAAGGGCACTTATTCCGTCTTTGCGTATTGCAGAGTTATCTTCTCTTGGGAGCAGGTATTGATTTTTACGTCATTGGTCTGTTTGAGAAAATTACGTCGTTTTCCCAAAAATTGATGACGTTACTCTCACAAACAAGTAACGTAACAATCAATACCTCCTCCCAAGAGAAGATAACTCTGCAATACGCAAAGACGGAATACAGTCCAAATGAATTTCACTGAACCTGATTTTACATTGATAGGAAAAGATACTTTGTGTATTGATTAAATTCAAATATGACTTTAGACATCTCTTTAACAGATATAGTTTAAGTACTTAAAGGACAAGAAAAACTGTCTTTCGAGAACTCGCAGACGCACAAGCACAGACCAATTGGCGATAGTTAAATCTAGACGTCAGATACGCGTACTAGGTGGTCTCCAAAAGGATGCATTCCCGCCTCAATTGAGAGGTGGCATGAAAGCGAGACGGTTAATTTGTTTTTTGATATCGCATGCTTTCGATTTCAGCTCAACAAGATTAAACATGATACCTTTCTGTTCATATGATGTCTGTGAATTTACATTCTTATCTTACACTGCATGTATGCAGATCATTGTTTGCAATAATGTAGGTAGATTCCGTCTAGATTTTGCCTAACGCAGATAATTGTTTGCAAGAATGTAGATGAATTCCGTCTAGTTTTTGTCTTCCATCTGATCCTAAGATTCTGATTATATCTATGTCCTAAAGGTTACCATGCAGATTTTGCAGCTTTTCAGATATCTGGCTGTTTAGCCGAACCATATGTAATTGAGGCCGACATATTTCATCACAGATCCTCCTAAAAGTGTTTTTTTTTTATATCAAAATCAGTGTCGATAATTTTTATTGTTACTGTATTTGAACGCTGGCATACTAAGTAGGGCCAAGTGTAGACTTTTAGGAAAATGAGTTGAGGGGTCCAGGTTTGAACTACCTCAGACAGGAAGCAGGGTTGCAGCGGTGAACCTCGTTATTTTAAAGATAATTAAGTTTGCGCCCTGAGGTGCATTGGGGTATGTGAATGGAAATCAACAGGAGCTATGTATTGTTATTTTCTTTGTGTTATGGCATTTTGTGATTTTATCGAAAGAGAATTATATCGATGGCATCTAAGTACGGTTTGTTTTCATCTATCTAAGTGTTATTTCAAATCATTTCCAATGCTGTTTGGAGATGTTTCATGTAGGAGTTTCTTTAAATTTTAACGGAAGAGCATCAGGACAAATGTCATGTTAGTAGTTACTTTTTCGCTTAAATGTGTTACTGCCTCGAAATATCCATTATGCTCGAGTCAAGCTGTATTCCGAGGTATTCCATCACTGTNGTCTGGGGGGTGGGGGTCTACTGGTTGTTGATAAACTGCAGTAAGATAGTCGTTTTTTTTATTACTTTCGGATCCTCCATAAAATGAAATCATAGCGTAAGTTCAATAAATGTTCTATGTTGAATTCATGCTTTGCGATTCAGAAAACAGCTCGTTTCAAAGTGCTAAACATGTTCGGACTAAATCCGAAACACAAGCTAGCTTGTTGTAATAATCATATTGGAGATGTTTCAACAAATGCAGAACAAATACCAATGTGCTTAGGAATTTTGAATTATCTTGAATGAATAAGAACTGTATATTTGGCACATGCTGGTTCTTAGTTTCTGCATATTTTGTGCTTTGTCGTCTATTCTGATATACCTATTAACTCGTTCATTCATATTGTTCAAGTTGCTGACAAGACAACTGTGTGTTGCGAATTTCTAATGTACTTCCCGACTTATATTCCGAGGGGTCTGACCAAGGATCATTCCCTACAAGAATTCTTTATTCCCCTCACTGTTGATAAGTTTGTCAGAAACATTTACCTGTGTGTTAACAAACCACAGATTTTTACGATCTTTTAAAGGAAGCTAATGTATTGAAACAAATATATCAACATCTTTATATAGCTCGTTACACGGGTCAGCTCCTTGTGACATTGGAAGATGACTTGCATTTCGAGAATACATATATCTACACATATCATCCCGGAGACACCGCCTGCTATTGTCTTTATTCCGTGCGGTGTTTTTTTAAACAGATCTTATGTACTATTTGTTTATGCCAATGTTTTTAGTTATCTATCTTTCTTTACCTTTGTTTTGGCATAAAATGTTGTCTTGTGCTACTGACAATACAGCCTTTACAAAAGCTAACCTTTGTTTCCCTATATCCATGTCACGGAAGCATTTTTTCTATGACGTGCATGTTTGTTTGTTTTTTGATGGGCAAGGCTTTGTCCTCTTTGTTGCGACTATTTGAGATAAAACTATTCCTCCCGGTAATTAAGAGTGGGGCCTTACAAATGTCTTTGTCTTAATGGTATTCGTTTCATAACAGTCTAGTTTCGTCCACCTAGCTGGGAATTTTTGGCACATGGTCCGTTATATTTTCCCAATCGGTTTTACGAATTCTCCTGTTATTAATGACTTTATTCGCGAAGTCCTCCGCCTCGTCGTGTTGTGTTATGTTAACAACCTGTTGGTAACCTGCTCTGTTTGTTCGTAGATTTTGTGGATTATCCATAAAAGATGGTTATCCCGATCTACACTTCATCCCTTCCATATACGTTTACAAATATGTTATTTGACATAATGTCGACATGGGGAATACAATCGGATGACAGCACGAATTCACAGACGGGCAGTTAGTATTCACCCGTCTTTTTTGTCTGTATAACATTGCTAGTAACACATACCTTCATTGCCTCCCTCTGTGGCGATGCGTTTAGGTTCCAAACCGTTGTTGTTAAGGGTTGGAGAGGGGATAGATCTTCACCGAAGCTTTAAGTTATACGAAAAACTTTCTCGTACACTATTTGTATACTATTTTTACAGCTCACCAGTACGGAATAATTATATACTATGGTGGAAAGTGTCTATGTAAATGCCGAAGTTATATTTGAATAATGTCGATGTTTTTGTCACATTTGCCGAAATGATGTTTCCCGAGATATTTATCTACTAAATAGCGTCGACTTCTTATAAGTGTTAATGCCCCGTTTTATGTCGACACGCCACTTACAAACTCAATTCAGTTGCTGGCAAACGAAACCTAAAGTGAGGCCTCTATATGATGGCAACGCTGACATAAGCATCCTTTGAATACACCTGTTTCCATATTTTTCATTGTAAATGTCTTTTTTGAAACAGATGTATCTTGTTGTAATTGCTTGTTTTACTTTGGGAATAAATCTGCTTTGGTTAAGATGATTCCATACATTCTTTCACCATAATAACACGCTGCAAGTCCGAAGGAACTGGCATGCTGGCGGTCATTGTGTCAGAGTTGTGGGTCTTGCCTTGGGCATTTTAAGCGCAGATTTACTTCTTTCAAAACAGATGCCGTTTGAACTGTTTAATATGTAGTTGACGATAGCAAACATGCAAATCAATTTTTAGAATAGATGTGTATTGATTCGTAGACGCCTATGTGGGGTAGTTCCAATGTTTAAGACATTGCTACTGCATCATTAAAGGTATCGTAGACGACGCGTTTACATTTAAAACAATGGAGGCATTTTAAGGGCAGCTTTATACTCTTATCGTACACTATGTTTCCCACAGTTCGGTAAAAAGTCTTACAGTCCTTTCATTTTAAGAATGTATGTTAGGTGTCATTGGAATACTTTAACTTTTAGAAACGACAACATATTTTTCATCGTGGTCTCAAATTTTCTAATGTGTAGATATCCTTCATAAACATACTTCCTGATGTGTGTGTCTGTCTGTCATATTTTATTGTGCAGACAATTGTAGCTGATAGGAGCTTTGTGTCATTGGAGCTGAATGAGATTTTGCATGTCATTTGACTGGTCATGTTTCTAAATTATTACATTTTTATCAGATATAAATTTTTAATATGACAGTTTTAGTAAGTCCTTCAATGTGACATCGGAGATTAATGTTCGTATATGAACCATTATTTATTCAGTACCGTGTATATTTATCTTATCTAACAAACTAGAAGTTTTGTATGCACATTAATATACAATAGATTGTATGGTGGCATATTTCTGCCATCCACTTGCGACTTACGAGTTACGTATGTCGACATAATTATTGAAAGATGTCGACATAATCTGAGAATATGTCGACATAATCTGAGAAGATGTCGACATAACTGTTAAATTATGTCGACATATTATCACATTTGCCGAGATAATTTTGCCGAGATAATTATCTCGTAAGTGGGTAACTCGGCTTTTTATCGTGTTAATGCTCGGGTGTGACATCGACTTGCCACTTACGACTTGCCACTTACGACTTATTTATGTCGACATCCTAGTAGATTATTGCCGACTTACCAAAACGAGGCTTGTGCACGAGGACCGCGAAGGTGGGCTGATGGTGACTGAACAGTGGTGACTATACTGGTGAGTAACTTGGTAAAATCAATGTAAATATGGGAAATCAAAGATATGGATATTACAGTAGGTTACTATGATGTACAGAGTTTATCAATCAAAGAGGGATTTTACATAAATAAGTCGTAAGTGGCAAGTCGTAA